GTATTATGTTATATTGTTCTTTTGAAACATGTTCATGTTCTTTAACAAAATTCAACAAAGATTGAGAGCGTTAAAAGCCTTCCAGAAATCTTTCAGAGTCTCTTCATTAGTTTTCCTATGTGTAAAAGATACAGTTAACTTTAAATCTACAAAGCTACTTTGATATTCGAAATGCATGAAAATGTATGTAGTTTATACAAAGGTGATCCTGTTTAGAGTTGAACTCAGTAAAATAATGTAGATTTATCGACTCAACGCATGGTATTATGTGGACGATTGGGGTATTCACAATATAATTATTATATTGGTATGTTGACTCCAGAAATACTTCTTTAATCGATTAAATCCTTATTTTAATTATATTGTTTTCTATATGAAACCTGTTGTAATTGCTTTCAAGAATGTTGTATTATGTTATATTGTACTTTTGAGACATGTTCATGTTCTTTAACAAAATTCAACAAAGATTGAGAGCATTAAAAGCCTTCCAGAAATCTTTCATAGTCTCTTCATTAGTTTTCATATGTGTAAAAGATACAGTTAACTTTAAATCTACAAAGCTACTTTGATATTGAAATGCATGAAAATGTATGTAGTTTATACATACATTAAGGTGATCCTGTTTAGAGTTGAACGCAGTAAAATAATGTAGATTTATCGACTCACAATATAATTATTATATTGGTATGTTGACTCAAGAAATACTTCTTTATTCCATTAAATCCTTATTTTAATTATATTGTTTTCTATATGCGACCTGTTGTAATTGCTTTCAAGAATGTTGTATTATGGGTTGATGAACAATGATGTTTCGTTGATGTTTCCTGTGAACTGTGTGAAAGAGGACCATGACCGCGCCTCTGCTTCTAAACGGTAACACAATGGCATCCTGTCTTGGCTAATTAAAGAGTCTTCCACGCTCGTCGCTCCAACAGCAATTCTCGTCTGGTGAGCAGAAAGTCTATCGAACTGAACAACGTATGCAGCTCGTCTAGATCCTTGAGACGGGCATCGGCGAAATATCGTTTTTATTCAGCACCATCTAAAAATAGTCGTTGTCATTGTCCTGAGCCGTGCGCCCGCTTCCCATTTTCCGCTCGCTCTCCTGGTCGTCGTCCTTTTCGAGTCTGACGTTAAACGAATCCGTCTGGAATGGTTTTAATATGCGGCAGACGGACACGGTTCGATGAAGAGACTGCTGTTAAATGGATAGATCTGTTGTTGTTGTTGTTGAGTATAGTAGTATATAGTATGTTGGATGTAGTATAGTATGTGAGGGGAAACGACCTGGTGACATTGACCGTTCGAGGACGCGGTCGTCGCCGCCACCGGCGATCACTCGCTCATTAGCGGATGCAACTCGCTTTTCTCGCCCAAATACAACTAAATTGCTTTCGCAGACGTTTACTTCAATATTGACCAACCTTATTCAACACATGCTACAACATATACAAAATATCGGAATAACAAAATATCCTAAGATCTTCGGAATAACTTTACAATGTTTTCACATATTATTTTAAAACAATGTTCTATCCACTTAAAAAGTAATTTTTATATTGATCAATTTGATCAAGTATTTATTTTTACTACAGTTTTCGTACTATTTATATTACATCATATTTCTTGTTGGTGGATTCTCAATATATTTCATAACTAAATGATGAGGAATTTCATGATAATACAAATATTGTTTAAATTTATCAAAATATATCTATTATTCAAAGTTTGCAGTGCATTTGATTCTTGGGAAATTTTCCTACGGATTTTTCACCGGCTGGCTGGACAACTGCCAAACTATCTCGAACACGTTTTCGATATTCATTTGTCACGAAGTTTCGGGCGATACCTTCCACTCAACACGTACACAACAGCGCGCACGCTGCTGTTCCTCAAATCATTTGCTTCCGATGCTCTCAACATTCTTCACAATACACATTAACTTACCGGCCAAACTAATGACACGGTAATTTCCCATTCCTGCGAGCTCTTTCCACCCATTCCCAACTATCAATAGCACTTACCAGTCTCCTCATCCTCCTCTTCGTATCTATTTTTAAAGTGGTAATACCCATAAATTTTCAGAAGTTATGTAAAGTCCACAGATTCCTTACTAGTACTTATTCAGAATTCTACAAAAAAATTAAGAATTAAGTCAAATTTATATAATCAGTATGAAAAAAATGCCTTAATCTTAGAATGAAATAAGAAAGAAAATTTCTATTTTTTTTGAATGTGTGATTCATTAAAAATTCATGGAATTGCGTTGACGAATTTTGAAACGTACTAAATGGATATAAAACGTACTAATTGAAGAATTAAATATATATTTTTTCTTTGAAAAAGACTTGGTATTTTCATAAAAAAAAATGTATGTTTCGTTCCATAAAATTATGAAAATTATTAAGTGTAGGAAGTAGTAGACGGTAATGTTCCTTGATTTGAAGGAGAGCAAGTCAAGGAACGTACGTACATTGAGAAGAAGGAAATAATTATCAATTAAAGCATTCTGCATTACACAAAGAAAGGTGAAACAATGACTGCAGCTGCACTTTGACGAAACTCATCTAAACAAAAGGAGCATTCACGACGCGATTTAACCTTGCGCAGGTATTTATCAAGTGGCGAGTCTAAAAATGTTCATCAATATTTATGTTGTTTCGCGCGGGTCTACCAAATATTTGCCAGCTCATACACCCTAAAAGAGAGACAAACGACAACCAGAGTAAAGAAAGATGTTGATCGTTTATTGGCCGTGCGCCATCCTCGCAACAGCTCATAAACATGCTTTCAGAGATGTGCGAAAACTATTTCAAATGATGATAGATTAGCAAATGAAATTCCATCAAATCAATGCAATTTTATTAAGGAAATTAAATATAAAACGATTGTAATAATGGAAGAGAACGCGTTTGGAAATCTCGTTCGTTTATGGTTGTATTCGAAGGTAAGGTAACGAAATCAAATGCGTCCGGTGAAAGAGAACGCGATGATGACTCACTTATTTCGAGTGCAGTTCACCTGCGCCATTTAAATCTAATTAAGGGACACTAATTACATTAATAAAAATAAAATAAATTTAAAAAAATTACATAACAGAAAAGTTTAGCAGTCGGAATGAAATGGAAAAAAAGAAATAGTGAGCGTCGTGTCCTATAAATACGCGTAGGGATTAGATCTTGCGCAAATACCGATTGTACGGTTTCTTACTAACCGTGGATTATGTTGTAATGACTGTAGAATATTACTTACTCTCGAATTACTTAATAGCAGCCGAGTTGCAAAATACGAAATTGCTATAATATGTGTGAAGTGGGTACTGGAAATATCACGATTTTTGTTTGCCGTTTTCTCTTTGGCCGTTGGATTATTATGAAATTGATGCAATTACAACCTAAGGGTTTTTAAAATTAATACCCGACCGGGTCTAACTGATTAATGACGAATTACTTAACAGATGAGTTTCAAAATGCGAAATTGCTGTAATAGATATGAAATGAGTATTGGAAATGTCACGATTTTTGTTTCATCTGTGATTGTTATGAAATTGTTGCAATTAAAGATAAAGTATTTTCAAATTATTGCGAAATTGGATGTAACAGTTAGTTGAAATATTGAATTAATTAATAGAGCAGTTTTGATTCTATCATCATTTTGTTGATATCTTGACATCATGATGATGTTTAAAAATGTGAAATTGCAGTATTGTGCTTGAATTGTGTACTGGCAACAAATAGGATATATGAAGGTCTGTTAAATTTATTTCAGGGATTGAAATAAATCCCAATAATATTATAGTAGAATTCCATAATTTGAAAAGTGTACGGAATGAGACGTCAATATGATATTGTAAATCTTGTTGTTTATCAAATTTGATATATTTGATTTGAAATCTTGTTTATAAAAGATCGGTTAAATTAAAATTATTTCATTGTGGACTTGGAAATATTAAAAAAATATGAATGAATTACGATTTTTTGAATGAGTTAAAAATATAAATCACGAGGACTATCCTTGTTGTCGTGTTATTGGCGATATGAATGAGATGTGTGCATGCACGTGTAGAGGGTCGTTAAAATGAATCCCTCTTGGATTATTTTCTTGCGTAACGTCTTGAGTTTCTCAATGTAGGAACCAGTGGGAACGTGCAAAGGCGCCTATCAATTGCTTTTGACAAGCTGTCATCGTTCGTTCATTGTTGTTGTTGTTATCGTCTTAAGCTGGAAAGAATCCCGGATTGACGTCATCGGAAGCGGCCGATGACGGGGGTGGTGACATTTCCATTTTCCCCGGGAATTGCAGATCGATACGAGCTACACATCTCGCCCACCGCCTCCGACAAAACCAAACCATCCCCTTCCACCACCGTCAGACGGATTTCGTTACGCAACAGGCCGCTGCGCGCAACACGAACCAACGTATCCGAGTTGCACGAGGTTCATCCTCCCGGGGAAAAAGAGATGCATGACCTCAGTCTGGATGCGATCCATAAATCCGGTGCGCAATCATCGCTCGTCAATCATCATTTTATAATGCTCTACAATTTACTCAAACGCTTTGTTGATTCTAGGAAAACAATGGTAGTTACCAATAATAATACAATGCAAATGTTTTTGATCAAGTTAAGAAGTCTTTGACAAACACATTTATCAATTAAATCTATTCTTATTCATTTTTTCTTGCTTCCTTTTCACTGACTGACCAAAGAAGCATTCAAGAAGCATCGGAACTCAATGCCGATGTGGATGATGTTGATGTTCACGGTCTAATCTCGGTATTGCCGACTAAATAAAAACACCTCCGGCCTAATTTACGATCACCCCGACTGTGTGCGAGCCAAGTGCTCAGCACGTCCAACTTAATTGAATCCGAGCTGTAAATCCTTCAATTTTATTACATCCATTGTGCTGAGTCTCGGCCGGCCGTGCGCCGCTACTGTTTCTTCCATTTTTATTTTTAATCCATCTACTATATATTTGTCTTCTTTTGTTTGTTCGCAGGGTACAAAAGCGCCGTGCCGGGCACAGCAGATATTTTGGGAATCGAACCCAGGTATTGCCTGAGATCGCGAAACGCCGGCCTGCAGACCAGATCCTCCCCAAATCATCAGCATTTCGACAAGGTGACTTCTTCGCATTCATCCATCCATCGCTATTTACTGACACTACCCTTAATTTACAGCTGCTCAGGCGACTCATCCAGTCGCACAGGAAGAACAGGCTTCACTACCTGAGGAAACGCAGGAAGGCCGACGACAATCTGAGCGTTTGCCTCTCACGTACCAAAGAGTTCCGCAAGATCCTCAAGAACGTTGAAATCGTTAAAGGTATTAATAACTACTTTTTTTTTTTAATTACAACATTCCATTTTTACTTTAGCAAGTTTTCCATTATTACAAAAAGTCAAGTCAAGTCATTTTTATAAAGTCGCAAGAACAAAGATACATTATAACACTATTTTTAGTTAAAATGTTAAATGTGGCTTAATTATAATTTTCACTTCAAAGACTTCTATAGAAGACGGCATTGTAAAATCTTTTGTTTCATTTAAGACAATTACGACTATATATTCGTGTTTTAACTAAACGGTGGCATTGCGTTTGTTGTTTCAGAGAGAGCAGTCCGCGTGGCCTGGGATCACGTAACAATATCGGTGTTGGAGTGTATATTGTGCAGCAGATGTTTATTGGATCCGGTGACGACGCGATGCGGCCACACTTTCTGCAGGGGCTGTTTGGCCCGTGTTATCGATCACGGGTGGGCATGTCCCCTGTGCATGGCCCCTCTCGACCCAACCGAGGAGACGAGGGGCACCACGCTCGTCATACAGGAGGCCATAGAATTCCTGCTTCCCGAAGACTACATCGAACGATTGGCCATCAGCAACCAGGAAATCCAGGTGCTCGAGAAGGATAGTCAAGTGAGTATTTGCATTTTTACACAGGATGAACACCGGCCTGCAATGAGCAATTTTACAGCCGTTCCAGGTGCCCGTCTTCGTCTGCACGAACGCGTTTCCGAGCGTCGCGTGTCCTCTATACGTGTACGAGCCCAGATACAGGCTTTTGGCCAGAAGATGCTTGAAGTCTAACACCAGGAGATTCGCGATGGCCGCTCGCAACGACAACTCTGAGAAGTTCGCGCCGTTCGGAACCGTTCTTGAGGTGAGGGATGCCGTCCACATGCGCGATGGTACATCCATACTCACAACTGTTGGTGTCCGTCGGTTCAGGGTTCTGGAGAAAGGCGAACTCGTAAGATATTTAACACACGTTACTTAAGAACATAGATAAATTTATTTGTTTTAATTCCAGGATGGTTACGATACTGCTACAGTGGAGTATATCAAGGATTGCGACGTCTCCGAGGAAAAGCTTCCGGAGCTTCTGGATTTACACGAGCGAGTTTACAGCAAAGCCGGTAAATGGGTGAGCTCTTTGGCTCCCAAGGTCCTGGCCGAAGTAGAAACTTGCATCGGTGAGATGCCACCATTGGAATCCGATTGGTACAAGTTACCGGACGGACCATCATGGGCTTGGTGGCTCATGCCCATCCTACCATTATCATCTAAGCTCCAAGTACGTACAAACGAATTCCGCACACTTACCCAATTAATTTAACACCTCTTTACCTCTTCAGATTGGCTTCTTATACACGACGGACTTGGAGAAGCGCCTGAAAGCCATCGACAAGATGCTCGAGCACATGAAGATTAAGATGCGCGCTCTCAAGAGGACCAACTCGTTGAGATGCACCGAAACCGTCGAGAACTCTGATTCGTGTCGACTGTCCTGGCTTATATGAGAAACAAAGACAATTTTTGATTTGCTCAATATTAATAATGATGGTATACCACCCTCCGTGGACACCGGATTTCAGGTCATCCATATCTTAAGTCGTTAATTTGAGGAAGAAAGCCGTTATCCACCTTTTCTTTTCTTCAAATATTTTTCGTTGCCTTCAAGATGATAAAACACATAGAATAGTTTCTAGGTAGATGATATACATATACAGATAGAGATATATACATATATTTAAAAATATAATATAAATTAATTAGTTTAGATGGATTTCCTAAGCCCAATTTAAACTTTGATCGTGGCTTAGATGAAATCATTCTCAATGGAACAAAGTTTACCTACATTAATTATATATATATATATACATAAACTTTTTGTCTATCCAGTCTATACAATCAATACGATGTCTTAGCTTGATGTTTAGAATTGAATGTAATTAATGTTATTACGAGTAGTCATATTATTATTATTCTCGATTGAGCACAAGTTTTTTGAGAATTTTGAAAGTGATATTTAATTAAAAGAAAAAACTATATAAAAATACTCTTTAATCAATATAACTTTTGGTTCTTATATATTTAACTATTCTGAATCACATTCGACCAATTGTAATGTAGTCCAAAGAATCTTTTTTGTAGCCATTCTACAGTTATTATACATACATAATATATATATATATTTAATATATATATATATATATACATATATTTATTTTTTTATACTAAAAGCAACAACATATGTAGTAGACCAGATGACTTATTTAGAGAAAATACGACACGAAGAAATCTCGCGGATTATAATTGTTTATAGGAGTTAGAAAAATTTGAAGAAAAAAAAAACAATCAAATTTCATCATTGTTTATGATTGTGTTTATTTTTTTAATTTATTTTTGATTTCGTTCTCCGTAAAATATTATGTATTTTCCATTTTAAATTATTCGCCCGTAGTTCGTAAGTAATTTATTCGATTGACATTTAGTTTGTAACTATTTATTTGTATACTTAGTATGTTATGTAGCTTTTGTAACTACTTTTTTCGTATTAAGAAAACTTTGTACTTTTTGCGCTCGAAATGGACGGTTATCTGATTACAACAAAACAACAACAACAAAAACACTGAAAGTGAGAAAGAAAGAAATATATTAGTATATATATTGCTGCATATTTATCATTCCTTTTAAATATTTATACACAATATGAATTCAAATAAAGCGTCTATAAATTATCAACTACAATTGCCTTTTATTTCCTCCACTCGAATAGCGGTCGGCTTACCAAAATAATTGAAACAAACAATTTCCTTGGTTACCATTGTTTATTAGTTGACGTTTATTGCTTTTGCAAAATGTTAAGTTTATAAAACATCCTCTATAATTTGGTTATCCACCGGTCGTGTGTATCGACATTCTATATGTTTCAAGTTGATAAAGAGTGCGGATCACCAATCCAAGTTTTTCCTTTAAAACTATTACTTAATTTTAACTGTGGATGCTGACATATGTTAAGTATGGACAAGATGGAATGGAATTTTGGAATCAATCGCAGCCAACGCATTTTTTTAAGGTATTTTAATCATAGTTTAATTATGGTTTGTAAATTTTGCGATGTAATTACTTCGTTAAGCCAATATACATTCATTCGTAAACAAAATGAAAATCTTTTCGAACAAAGAAAAGTTTTATTAAATAGATAGACAACTTTCAAACAAAATGAAATCACATTTTAAAATACGTGTCTAAAGTTGATTGTACTTTTTTCCTCTCATTTAACAGGTACTTTAATTTTGTTTTCTTTTTCTTTGTTTTCGTTGCTAACAATGTTTTCTAAATATTCCACTGAAACCATCTTCGATATTCAATAATTTTTTAACATTCTCTTACGATTCGCATGTGAAGCAGTGATAATATAAATATGAAAGACATATATTTTGTTATGATGATAGGATCTTATCGATTTAATAACTTATTATAATCTTTCATAGAGAGAAAATTTCTTATTTTCTTGATTTATCATAATTATTTCATTTTCTACAAAAATATTATCAATAAGTAATATACATATCTTTTTTCGTTATTGCTAATTTCTTCAAAGATCAATACAGTGGAACCTCGCTTAACGATTTTAATCAGTTCCAAAATTTCCGGATTTGAAACATATTAAAAAATATGTGTATACAAAAAACTTTTTAAAAATGATGTAACAGGCTCACAATCCGGGACTTCTCTTCTCATCATCACTCGTTATGCGAAACGAGTAATTTTTCTTACAATTAATTTTGCTCGTTAAGCGAAATGTTCGTTATGCGAGGTGCTCGTTCCACTGTATATGCATTCTTAATAACGTTTGTAATTCGAGAGCAGACAAAAATGGAAACTAATTTCATTGAGAGATGTGAAATATTCATTTATTTTTTTAGATTTTATGAATGAATAGAAATTGTTGGATAATATCAATAATAGAATGATGAAGAGTAAATTTGTAATATGTTTTTCTGTTTTTGTTTTCATTTTGAATAACTATAACCTTTTGAAGAGAACCTGCGAATAGATTATTTTAGAAGAAATTGAAAGTGTTGCTATAGCGGAACGACACTCGTGATGTTTTGCTCCTGTCAATAAAGCATTTGCAGTGCCAATAAATCCGTCAGAAGTTCAAGTAAACAGTTGATCCGCATCACGAATGTTATTTATCGCCATTGATCAAACGGCAAAACGAATGTCTGACTATTCGTTGATATTTTTATGCGACCATAATTATTTTCAATTATTAACTACCCTGAAGGAAGCAAACATAGTTTAATATCAATATGTAGTATAAAAAAATGAAGTTTATAGTAAGCGATAGTTGTAATAAAATTTCCATCTGCAGTCTCGAAGGTCTGGGATGTAAATCCTAAGAGCGGTGGATGTTAATAGTTCAGGAGTACATGGACCTCTGCGCTGTGCATTTTTCATGTACTCGGAGTATTAAAGCATTTATATGACCCATAAAGTTCGTGTAAAAAATGCACGTGAAATGGTTCGAAGACTGATGGGATTTGAATGTGAAATGCACGTGAAATAAATAAAAAAAATCCTTCATTAAAACACGTTAATTTTACAAAAGGCAGATAATGTCGTTTTTATACGTTGCACGTTAAATATAGGAATAATGCGATGTTACATTGCAGCGGTTTCATGATTACTAATGGAAATTGAATAGTATTTACAATTCTATATTTAAAATATATAATTTGTATTTTGATAGTCAGTTCGATCATTCAAAATACATTAGTTCAAATCTACGTTTCCACTTACAGATACTGTCTTATGGTACAATGGATGTCTCTGCTTTGTTTTATATATTAATTAGAGTGTAAAATCCTCGCCTCCTCATGTACATTTTTTTAAAACCTTTGATGAACTTAATTTCCAATAATTTCCCATAATTTACAATATTTTAATTGCTAAGCGCCCTCATTAATCCCAATAATTTTTACTCCATCCTGATATTTTTGGGTACACCACTGAGTCTAAGTGAATTATGATATATTTATTAAATTAACGGATTAAGTAATAAATTAGTAATATTGAATTTCCTCCACCTTTTTGCATTTCATATTTTTACTTTCGTTCAAGATGATGTAACGAGATTTTTCAATTAGTTAGTTTAATAATATATTCTTATTTGATGAATGAAACTTTAAATTTTATTGAAAATAGTAAAATCTGTTATCATTGCATTAAAGAATATTTTATTAATCTTTCTTGTTTAGTATAAAACAGAATTGACCAATTAAGATAGCTTTAGGAGAAATCGATATAAATACTTTGCATTAAAAATCATTATGTAATTCATAAAAGTTCTGCAAGCAACCGTTAGATGTCTCTACTAATAACACATATGAAAAATGGGTCTATATCGCAAGCCCGACAACCGAACGTTGGGCTTTCAATAGACGGTCTTATTGAAAGTCCGACGTTCGAAATCCCGAGTGTATCGAAATCCCGACTAACATAATCCCGACAATCAAAATTCCGAATATATCGAAATACCGACTACCATAATCCCGACAATCGAAATCTCGACAGTGTCTTTTATTATTATAATTTCTACAATAACATTTTTAAATTATTCTACTATATTTTAATAGGTACAACGGATACTGAAAAATACTTGTAAGACCTAGGTCGATGGCTCTTTTGCCCGATTATTAATTGTTGTTATTTATTCTTAATAACAATAAATAATATTAGTTATTATTGTATTTTTTTTCGTTGACTTATTCATTATAATACTTAAGAATAAGAAATATTCTATAATAAAATTAGTTTATGTTATTATCAATAAATAACAACAATTAATAATCTTATTAAGTTTTAGATAGTCGGGATTTCGATATAGACGGGATTTCGATATAGTCGGGATTATGGTAGTCGGGATTTTGACATAGTTGAGATTTCATTATAGTCAGGATTTCGATATAGTCGGGATTTCGAACGTCGGGATTTCGATACACTCGGGAATTCGAACGTAGGGATTTCAATACACTTGGGACTTCGAACGTCGGGATTTCAATACACTCGGGATTTCGAACGTCGGGATTTTAATACACTTGGGATTTCGAACGTCGGGATTTCGAACATCGGGATTTCGATAGACGGGATTTCGGTTGTCGGGCTTGCAATATAGACCCCATATAAAAAATATATGTCAGTGTGTATTTTGTATTTTTAAATACAAGGAATACCAATAAATTATAAATAACATAAATAATTACAGCATATATTTTGTTTATATGTATATTTCAATAAGAAACGGTTAATTCGAATAAAATGCATGGTGCGATGATGCACTATTATACTATGACCTAGTATTTTTATGATCGCGTTAAAGTTTAGCCTTAAGTATTACATCTATCATTTCCGTGAACGTAACGTTGTAATTGATTTTACAGTTGTTCTTTTTTTCTTTCGAGTTCCCACTTTGAATCGAAGATCATTTAATTACAACATCATTTACTACCATTTTTATCAGCAATTAAATCCGTAATCTGCTTAGATCGTAGTTTGCACAATTTGGGATAACTGTGACCTTTTTTTCGAAGTGTGATACCAATTATGTTGTGTGGCTTTGAGGTCATTCCTTTGCTTTTGTGTAAGCAACAATGCAGTAGTGTACAATAGAAGTAGCGAAAATAGAAGCTGTTGAAATAGGGAAGAAGACAATAGAAGGAAATGAAAAGACGATTACAAGAAAATACTTTCAAAATTATGATTTTCAAAAAATGTAGATATATTAAAGTCTTCTATTAAAAGGGAATATAGAAATGTTTGATGAATTTATCAAAAAAAAAATGAAGTTTAACAATAAATTGATCTTACAATACTCAAACATTTGAGCAATTAATAAAAATAAGTAAAAAAGTAAAAGTTGGTCTGTAAGTAAGAGCATCTTGAATACAAATGTTCTCATCCTCTTCCACATAAAATTACAATACTAA